AATTGAATTGAATTGAACATAAACAGCCATAATCACTTCTGTGAAAAGTGGCCCTACTCCAGTCTGCATGTTGAAGTTGCCCGTGATGCAACCGTGTGAGAGTGTGTGAAAATGTTAGACAATGTTCTCAGGAATAGAAAAAAACAACAACCAAACAACAAAACATTGCACGAATATTTGTGTTAAAGGTTAATGAGGCTCGCAATTAAAAAGTGGATCTGCATGTGGATGGTCCATTTACCATCCACGTGCACTCCCAAGAATTTTAATTTTATAGCCCATCTCACATGTGATAAGTTCATTTACATGAATCACAGTGTCTCATCACAGTGTCTAAATGTGGCTTAATTAGGTTTGCTTGAAGGCAAAACACCTGGCTAGTCTTTAAATACACCTCTTAATTGTCGCTTTAAAGCATGAACCACTAAATAATTACCAAAAGTACAACTTTTTGTGTTTTGTGAAATCTCTTACAACATACACCCCCCCCCACACACACACAAATACATAAAATATTAACATTAAATATTAACTCATATATTTACATATATGAGTTTAAACTTGTATCATATTTGAAACATTATTCCTTAAAAATGTCTCACAAACCCAGAAAAACTAATTTATCTAATATGTTAAACTCGGCTTCAAAGGGTTAAATTCCTGCCTGTTTTCAATCAAACTCATTGCATTCAGTTTAAAACTGTTAATCTAATTCTATAATCATGATTTATACTCCTGTCTCTTGCTTCTCTCTCATACTTCATGTAATGCAATATTGCAGCTTCTCTGGGCCAGTGTTTATTTTCTAAAACTCCCTCTTGCATCATCTACCACAACTGATGTGTGATCTTGTGGTTTGGCCTCTAGTGCCAATAACACATCTATTTAATTTAAGGACTCTGCTATATTAAATAGAAAATGGCCAACAATCACACGATCCCCTGTGAGCAAGCGTTTAGCAGTGGTGGAAAAGAAAAACTCAGATTTGACAGAGAGTCAATGAAGAGAAGCACGGATGTTTTACAGGAAATAAAACCTCCCTTTCTAGTCCCTGTCAATACTTTCACGGCAGTGTTTGGAGTTATCTGGGGGATTTTTGGGGAACTTTTAGAACAGCTTGATATTAAGGAACTGCAATAGTCCTACAGTAGTCCAGCCTAGAAGTAATAAATGCATTAACTAGCATTTCAGCAGTCTTAAATATTTGTTTAATGTCTACATCGAAGGAAACATCCTGTTCAAAAAGGTCTCCAAGATTCCTCACAGGAATCTCACTGGAAGCCAAGGTAAAGCCATCCAAGCTAAGTATCAGATTAAACACCATGTTTCTGAGATTTTTGGGGTCAAATATGATAACCTCAGTTCTCTGTGAATTCAGGAGGAAACAGTTAATGGTGTCCTGTAACTTTACTCAAAGAATCTGGATGGGGCATTTTTCCTTCTGGTCACGGTTTTTGCATTTCCACAGCTCTTGCTTTTGCTTCATCCTGCGTGTATTTATGCTTAGTTAAAATTATAGTGTCTCAGTTCCTGAATGGCTGCCTCAATTTTTGAGAATTTAAATTCTTCACAGTAACAGCTTCTGTTCTGTTACAGCTAATGTAGATCTTCTACTAAACACACGTTAACTTTTACTTCAAATCCCTGGGCTCTGGATTTGCAGAAGACAAGAATATTAGCATTTAGCATCATTTTCACATTCACTACATTTCCCCTTTGATCTTTCAGCTAGAGGGAGGTTTAAGGCCTTGTCACTTTTATCTTTAAACTTGACAACAAATCTACCTTCCTCTTTAAACTTTACCATTTTTCCTAATTTCCCAAGAACCCCCCACTTTAACTACCAATCCCTGATCTGTCTCTTTTATGTTGTTTTACTAGACT